GTGTTGATGTTTCTCTTACATTAGCACATAAACTGAACTTGGTAGAAAAGATTAATTGATTAATTGCTTGGTTGAAAAGATTAAAAGGTTAATTGCTTGAGAAAGTAGTGCCTTGAATAAATGGGTGATCACATTCGCTTACTTAGGGTGATCAGTTTTATTTGTCACAAGGATTCGCAGTGAGGAAGATTGCTCTGTGCACAAGTCAGAATCGGTGTGAACTTGTTAGCAAGCAGGCGGCATAACCTCACAGGTAAAACTGAGGCTATTTAAATGGATTGTCTCTACTTGAACTTTGGCTCCTACTCATTCTAGCTCTATATTAATTGTGGAGAAGAAACTGAAATTCTCTAAACCTCAATTTCTTCATCTATAGATTTGAACTAATACAAGAGATGGTATGAGAATTAAAATAGATTGTGTGCATAAAATTTTAGAATAGTAGTGGAATATATATGTCCAATAGACAGCATGTTAAATAAGATTCAGCATAGTATGGCATAGAATGTATATAAACTCACTATATAGAAGACATAACATTAGTTGGAAATTTATGATAGCTGTATCTCCAAATATGATTTCTCCATCATGGGTGGCGGTGGGTGGGAGTGGGGATATTTCCTATGGATATTAGAAATATTAAGTCTGTAAAGTGATCAAGCTGTCTATGAACCATGAACTGTACCAGGGGGGCAGCTGCCAGGTTTATTTGTTTTATTTGTGTAGATTCAGCCAGTGAGGTGACAATGAGCCCAAAGGGAATCCACAAAGTTTATTACTTACATAGAAGTTTTATCAATGCACACAGAAGCTGGCAGCTGTACTTTAAAAGAAGGGCAAGGCAGACCTGTATGCTGTTGAAACTAAAAATATGAATGATATGGTCTTGCAGAAATCTCCTGTAAAACATAAAAGAAAAACTACATTCAACAGCCGTTTATCAGGGTGTCTATTTTTGCTTCAGGAGCAATTGCAGGGTATTTTCGCAAAACCTGGGTCAAATGGTGGTTAAGCATTGACTATGTGGCCTTTATGGTAACATGCAAGGTCTCCAGGTTACCATAGCACCCTGTTTTCCTACAAAGAAGCAAAAGCTGGGAATCACTCATTACCACCTTCCCTATGTTTTCATAAAGATAGGTCTATAATCTGGCTTGAATAAGTGTGGTTGTGTTTAAGTAAGTAGCATTTTTAAAAGGCAATTTTAAAAGATTCCTATTGCAACCTTAAAAAGCTTCCCAAATTCAATACCAATTTTTATAAACACAAAAAACATTATAGTGACAGTGTTAAGAGGTGTTATTTTTAGAGGACCAAGTGATTGATAAAGGTTTTTACATGGTCGTTGTTAATTCATTTGCATCGTCATCTCTCCTTTTCAGGAGTTAGTATGATGCAAAGTTCTAGGCAAGAACTAGGGTTGGTGTAAGGGAAAAATGGTAAGTGGATAGCTTAGACAAGCTGTTCCAAGTCTGAGGGAAAAAACATGCTGTGTAATTTATTCTGTATTTTGTGACCCTTTACCCCTTTATTATTATTATTATTATTTTAGTTGGAAAAATACTTGCAATTGCAGATTAGGGTTGCACCTGAATACCTTTTATAATAGGTCTTAAATTAGAAGATTTTTTAATCCAACACAGTTTATCATGGAACCTTACAGTTATAAACAATGTAATTTTACTCAGTATGGCCCTTCTGCATATTTTTTTCTCTGGGAACATGAGATTCCATAGATAGGTGAGGATTCTGGGGAGATTTTCATTAGGAGCCTGAACACAGCAGAATGAAATATCTCAAAAAATTTTTTAAAACGCTCAATAAAATTGAGTGTCTCTCCTCTTCCTCAAAATGTACATTCAGTCAATATTAAAATGCTACAGCTTTCTGACATGCACATTCAATGCACTTTGGGCCTACTACTTTTTCTGCTCAGAATTAACCTCATCTAATACCTTATAAATCTGCTGAACTGTAACGTATAGTTTAGAATTCTCTTAACTTTATAAATATATCATCTTCCCTACTTTCCCATCAGATAATTATCACTCTCATGGCCTTCACAATATTTCTGTTATTATGTTTACTACACTAAATTGTAGTATTTCTCTTTACATAAACATCTCTTCTAATAAATTGTAACACATTTGAGCTCTAGGTTCTGGTTCATGGTTTTATATTCTTAACATAGAATTCCTGAAATTTTTGTTAAACTGAATTAATTTGACTAAATTGAATAATTGTGTATTTTTCTATGAAACCGTCCATACTCTTTCCTCATTTTCCTTCTGACCAAAGGCAGGTATTTGAGGGATGAACAGGTTGAAGGGTGCAGTCTTTTGAAATGGAGCAGAATAAAGTTAAATGATCCACAAGGAGATCAATGCCTAGAATTAGACCATAGAAGCATAATACTCAAACCAACAAGCTCACCATCTTGAGTGCTGTAATGAAGCTAGCAATTTATTTTCTCCTTCTGTGGTTTAGTCTTAAGAGATCTGTATTTCCAGACTTAGAGAAAACAGGTACTATTAAAATATAGTCAGTTGTCATTGGTGAAGTTATTCACTAATTCAGTGGAGGAGAGAAAATAATATTGATAATATTTAATATATTTTAAAGTTATAAAGTAATTAAAAAATTTAAGGAAATAGAGTAAGATTGAAAATAATTAAAAATGTAAATAATTTCAAAGGGATTTTATGTTTTTTTCTGTTTCATAGTAAAATAATTCATTTTAAAATAAATTATTATAGTCTAATTTGAATTTGTAATAAATTGTACTGAAAATTCAGGTGAATGAGTTTATGGACTTTCTTCTATTAGGTGCTTTCAAAGAAATAGAATTTTTTTACTTGTCAAGAAGCTTAATGATTATCTCATAACAGGCTCTTGGTGGAATTAAAATTTTGTGTTATATATTTAACTTAATATTTGTCACTATAGAAATAAATTTAAAGACGCAGTTTTTTATTTGGGCTGCTAGGTTTTTCTCAAGTGGATCATGTTTTGGCTAAAGATAATAACATCGTGTCAGATAATTAAAATCAACAAGGATACTTGCTATGTATGCAAGATTATCAGTTCAATTTGATGAATTTGTGTGGGCCCCAAGAACCTCTTTCTTTTAACATGGTGTCCAGGTGGTTCTCTTTTTTAATGTACCTCAACAACTGCATCTCTATACTACTTTAATGGATGAAAAAATTTGAAAAATTTGCTGGTATTTTGGTCATGAATCACTTTTTATCCTTTGAATTAATTACTTTCTTCTCTAGATCTATCTTTCACCATTAGTCTTTTTGTTCTCCAAAGATTAATAACCTCAAACAGCCCTTTAACTTGGCCCATGTTATTTTCTGCATATCAAATCCCATGGCCTAGGCATTCTATTGGCTGAACACATTTGCCATCTGAAACTTAAACCTGGTGTCTTCGAGGAATAGTTCCTTGACATCCAGTGCCTGAGATGTCTCCACCTCTTATTCTCTAAACCACCTGTGCCTTTTATCTACCTTAATGCTCAGCTTTCATCATTGTACTCATTTTTCTTTTAAATTTTTCCAAGTAAACCATGAGATTCCTGTGGGCAGGAACACTACTACTTTTCATGTTTCCAGACTAACATAAATCTGACCCACAATAGATATCTAATAAGTGTTTATTAAAGGGATAGTACCAATAGTTTGGGTTCTATCTTTACATTTTGAAATCTCTAAACATAAAGGGAATATGGTTTGAGGAATGCGTTTTTTTCTATTCAAAGTCTTCCATCTACATTAACAACTGTCATGGCTAGATTTATATTGGTAGCAAAAGGTCATTGACACAAAATATTTAATTAACTATTATAAAAAATATCATTCTAATCCATATGTATGCAAATATGTGATGTAATATAAATGAAAAGTAAGCTTTCCTTACCATCTCCAACTCACTACATTTATCCACTATTACCATTCTCTTGTTGGTATTTCTAAAAATGTTAATATCTATATAAAGCATATATGTAAATATAAATATCTTATACCTATTCATATATGTAAAAATACACAGACATCTATACATACATGCTTGTTTTTGTATGTGATTTTATACAAATAAGTTGATACTATACATCTTATAGAAAATTTCATATTAACATATAAATCTACCTTCTTTTTGCTAGTTCTATTCTATTTTATATATGTATCATGATACAGTTAATTGATCCCCTCTTACTAGATATTCATATCATTTTCATTTTTTCACATTACAAACAGTATTGTAATGAATGTTCTTGTACATAAATCTTTGTAGACTAAAAATTATTTTGATTAAAGTAATATGGATTTTGGGTAGATATTTCAAATCAACTTTAAGAGAGACTTTGGCAGTCTATACTGAAGAGGAGAATATCTGTTTCTCTGCACCCTCACTAATTTTTTATTTATCCAATTTATATTTGTATGACCACTTGTGTTTTAATTAGCATTTATTTACATATTTGTGACCACAGATATCTTTGCAATTATATTAAGGATTTGTATTACTAAAGCCCAATGTTTTGTGTTCTTCTATCTTATAAACCATTATGTCTCAGTTGTCTTCTGCTCTAAAGTTCTCCCAAAGTCTGTTTTTTCATACTTTTAATCTCTGGTTCTCTTCATTTCTAAAACCCTAGTTTCCATTTCCTATTTTATCTTTTATAAATGCCACACTGTTCTTCAACATTTGGCTATTTGAAACATACATTTATGCTATATGTTAAGCCAGTTTTCCAGTTTTGCCATTATATTCATTCTATTAGGAAGTACCTAAGACTGATATAAACTCAATTTTTTCTTTTTTTTCAGTACTTATAATTAATAAAATGTCAACAATAAGCATATCCTACAGGTTTTGGTTGAAGTCTCTGTCTATCTAGAGTTAATAATATTTATTACCTGTTCAACTATGTTAGAAAAAAATTTTAAAGTTAAGAAAGTTATAAATTTGAGATATATAAAGAATATTCATTTAAAAATATGGAACACTTTCTCAATTTGCTTGCCATCTTTGCACAGGGCCAGGCTAATCTTCTCTGTATCATACTGGTTTTAGTAAATTTGCTGCTGAAACAAACATCAATTTTCTGATTATGGATTTGTATATACTAGTATCATTGTTTTTGTATGTGAGCACATGGATGTGTATGTGTGGTCCAATATTTAACTAGTTTTACTTGACTGATGAACTTTTTCTGAAGTTGCACTTGATGAAAATCACTGAAATAATTTGCATTATGTTTTGTATATGCTCTAAGTATTTACATTATTTCAGCTATCTTTATCCCATCCTAAAGCAATGAAGATAATCTTGAAATTATCATAGGATTTTGATATATTTTTAAAAACATTTAATGCTACATGTATCATCAAACATGTGCCATTAGATAGCTCTATTATTGTTCAGCCTCTTGTTTCAACATCTTATTTTTTAATGTATTTTAAAATTATGCATGTTAAAACATTGTGCTCATATTTTAGCTTCCTTTAAATTATAGTTGAAAGCAAATATTTGTTACACGTCGCATGTGTCTCTTTCACTCTCTCTCTCTCTCCCTCCCGCCACTTAAGGAAGGCGGGAACAGGAGCAAGAGGAAAAAGGTAATTGACCTCTTGACCAAGTTGTTCTGTTTGGCGAGGTTATACCACATTGCCCTTGTGAGGTTTACAGTAAAAGTGGAGCAGAGGGCTGGAGTAGAGGGACTAACAGTGTTAGGATCAAAGGCCTAATTGTCTGCTTTCTTGAAGTTAGGGTTATTGGCAGCTGCCATTATACCATCCATGCTGCTGTCACCCAGCACAGCCAACCAGCATGCACTAATTGCAGTGGCCTTTTCATCAAGTAAGATCATCCCACTAAACACAAAGAGCTGTCTCTCCATTAGCACAGACAGTAGCCAGCTAGATCAGCTGGGCTCCTTGAGTATGATTGGACTGTCATATTGTTATGATTTGTTCAAGTTTAGAGCATTTAGCAGATACCCTTTGCACCTCTCTTTGTACCTGAATACTATAACCTGACTGCCCCTATCATTTAAGAGGGTACTATAGCTTTTCAAAGTTCAGCAGCACACAATTGCAGGCAGGCAACTGGTTTCTGACAAGAGATCAATACTGTCCTTCCAAACGCTGGAGTCAAGCTGCTGGGTCTGTCAGAGGGATGTGTGCTGTAATTGGATCATGGATGCTGCGAGTCATCTGAGTTTCCCTTCAGCACTGTCACAGCTGTCAGATGTCATCCCTTTGTACAGCTGTCACTGCGGGAGGGTTGGGGCTCTTTTTCCGTTCTAACCCAATGCAAATGTCCACTTAGCAGATGAATATTGAAGATATTAGACACTTCTTTATGCCTTTATGCAAAATAAAGATCTGTGTCATCTGTGAATTTCATGGAAATAAGTTGCAATTTATTCACTGTGAGAAAAGTGAAGTGAAGCCTGTAAAAATGAGAAATTATTTGGTTCAGGCTATTAAAAAACGGACTATTTCACAGAATAAACAACAATATGCAGATACTTTTCTTGAGATAGCATAACTAATACTGTGAGGTATTTAGAATGGCCACCTGATATTTGGATGAGATTTTAAAAAATATATAAATGTTTTGTTTCAATATTCTTGGAAAAGGTACAAATCCTGAGCAGATTCATCTCCTTTGAAATCATTAAAATGTATTGAAAAATATAAATGTAACACCTATTTTAAATTAGCAATGTGAGATTTAAAGAACCTACTTATATTTAGGATTAGGTCAAGGGGTCTCAAGAAAGTTTTTAAGATAGGAAGAACAGTTTCAATAAAAATAAATATGATGTTTTGGTCACAAAATCCTTTTTATCTAGGTTATTACAAATGAAGTAGAAAGCTATGTCTATAGTTGGCAAAATAATTATATAAACAGTGAGAGACTGTTAATTTGTCTATTAATGTCAGTCGATTTTGCTTTTGTTTAAATTTAAAAGAATATTAAAAAAGAAACGTACTTTATTTCATGCATTTATGCTTACAAAATTATATTTTTAAAAATGATGGATGGTTCATTTCTGGAATGGTACAACTTCAGTCATGAATACTTGCAACATATAGTAAAAATAAAGAGATGTCCCCAATGTGACTTCAGCAGTTATATTTGTAATTCAGGAACTTTTATAGAATTGAGAGAGACACATGCAATTCCCTAGACTATCTCAAAATAAAGTGGAATCTTAATTTTTTAAACCACGTTCTTCCTTTCTCCCTAAGCTGATGTCAGAATCATAAGCGGATGGCCGACAGAGTAGTTCTGATTTGGGTGGCTGGCTTCCTTTTTCTTGAGGTCCAGACCACACACCGCCTTCTCTGTCAAACAGGCAGCTCGCACAAGCTCCGGTGGCAGAGGAGCATGAATCTTATTTTCCAATATCTAACCTCAGCATCCTGTCATTCACCAGGGGACTCACTGGGTCAGAACCTCAAATACTCAAACTTTTTGCCTCCAAATGGCATTATGAAGTGACCTCACCTCATTTGTTTTGGCTCATGTTTTTTGGAGCCTAAAATTAGTGACTGCCAAAATCAAAACATAGCCATTTTGTCCACATTGTGGGATATGGCAGTGCACAGGGAGGGAAGCAACAACAAGAGAATGCACCCAGTGTTTTTATTTAAAAGGTGATGTGTTTGAAATGACTATAATATGTACTAACCAGAATAAAAAGTATTATGTTTTCCATTGCCTCAGTTAGCATTTTTCTCTGAGTGTGGTTTCATAAGAAGCTGGGTAAAAATCTTATGGAAATTTACATGGTTTACGTCTATGAAACAAATTAGCAATCAAATCTTAAGTTGACTATCACTGGTTTAATAAAATACTCTTCAACAGTTGCTTAGGCAGAAAACATAGAAATGAATGAAGTAAAATTTTGAACTTAGTTTCTTAAAGTTATTCTTCTGTGATAACCGTGAGCTTTATATGCAACTCCAGTGACTCAAGCAGGCACTCTTCCTTTTTTTTTTAAAACACAGGTTTATGGCTAATTACATCAGAGATCCAAAACAGTCTTTTTTACATTTGCATTAATAAGGGTGTCACATGACCATGTTGAAGTAAAGTATACATCAAAGGTAGATTAAAGGTTGGTTAAGCATCAAACCATGTTCCATATGTAAATTTATAGCAATGATGTGCTGTAGAAAGATAGCTAACCCTCTATTTCTCTGCTACTAAATAAAATTAAAAATTCACAACTCTGGTTTATGGGATTTTAAATGAATTTGATCTCTCTTTTGGGCAGGGCAAATAAGTGTTTTGTGATGTATTATTTTATATTAAAAAAAAAGACCATCGTTCTGGCTCATTTAATTTTGCGAGTGAATGATCTAAGATTAACTACAGACTAGTCAGTGCAGTTTAAAAGCTGAAAGCAATTTTCAGCCATAGATGGTAATGCCACATTCAGTCCACAACTGAATGACTCTAAATGACTAAGCTTCGAGGCCTTTGTATATGACCACAGGGCCTGATAAAGCCATAGGAACACAGTAAAAGCACAAAAATAGTTCCAATTTATTTGGTGCCATCACCTTAATGAGATTAATACAGACGTGTTCATGTGCCTAATTGGTGATTTTGTTTTAACTAGTAATGAAGGATTAAAACTTCAGGCAACAGGCTGCTTGCTGGAAAAAAGAATTTGTGGGGAAAAAGTTTTTAATTATAAAAGAGAGCCAGTGAAATATACCACTGCAAGTTAATAATAATTCTTTTTTTAAAAAAATGAACTGATTATAATGTGTACCCTGGATTGTTCTTGCCATTTTGTGAGAAAGGGTGATTTTATGAGAAGTACCACATACAGCTTTTACATACCGATAGACCCTTTGGCATACAAACCCATAGAGAACTGTGATTTCTGGTGAAGAGTGTTAAAACTGGAAAGCTTTGGCCCTCAGGCCACTGTGGAATTTAGAGTATGTAGGATTTTATTCTAATTTAATATTTAACAAGTTACTACAGCTGGATGTCCTGTGGCTAGCTGTTCACATCCCAGTCAGTCAGGGTATCTCTGGAGAAACTTCACCTATGATTTGAATGGGGTTCTTCCCCTCAACCTCTAGTTGTAACCGTTTAAATGCTAACACTTAAGCATGCTGCCAAAACACAAACACTCAGCCTAAGTCATTAAAATTTAATTATAAGGGGCAGCTGAGCCCAGTTTGATTTTGAATCTGAAAAATCTGGTTTAAAAAACTAAATCAGAACTACCCATCCTAACCTGTCACCGTCTGTCTATACCAGCCCAGAGAACCTTGTTTAACTAAAATTGCAGGTTTTACCAGAGTTCACATGCTCACAGTCCTCAGATTAGCTTCTATTTGGATTATTATTCATCTGCCATAAGCATAAAATGGATAATTGTTTTATCTTGCTGGTGGTGGTGGGGAGCTATATAACCCATATCCTGCATATCTGTGCCAGCATATGTTAATTTTGTCTTTCAGAACAAACAGTGAATTAAAGCAACTATATAGCCCTACATTGCCAACCGGATAAAACAATATTATCTAGGTTATTATTTTCCCCAAGAAACTTAGCGCAATGATAAAGTGTCCTTTTGATTAGGAAAAAAACCGTGACATGCAAGAATTTGGTCTTTAACGTTCTGTTACGAACCACTTTAAAAGGACTCTGGGTAGTGATACTGTTCAGTGTACGATGCTACCTTCCCAGAGAATGAAGACAGAAATATATTTTACATTTCTTGTCAGATTGAACTTTAAGACATCCTGACTGCTTTCTCTATAATTTAAACATCACAGCCAAAATGGCAACATGCTTTGTTCAGTTCCAGTTGTGTGGAGTTTTAGTGCTTCATTGATTCAGAGGAAGGCTGAGGCTGGCACGGAGCAGGGCGACAGAATCACACTCTCACTGCAGCATGTCAAGCCATTATATCTGGGACCAGAATGTCACCGTGGTCTCAATGGTTCGTCAGCTGAAGGATATGGTTAACAAATGTAAAACCAAACTTCAGAGGAGCTGGTTTTCTGTGCTAAGTGATCTGTATTCCCTCCGAATTTACTTTCCCTTAACCCCG